ATCCCAGGTGCGGACATGGCACGGCTTGGCAAGCCATGCTGTGGTAGGCATCCCACATATAAAATAGAGGAAGATGGGAAAGGATGTTAGCTCAGGGCCAGTCTTCCTCAGCAAAAAGAGGAGGATTGGCAGATATTAGCTCAGGGCTAATCTCCCTCAAAGAAAAAAAAAAGAAGAAGAAATTAAGCTTTAGTAATATTTCATAAATGTATCAATGCTGCAGCCTCACTCAGTCTACATATAAGATGACCATGTGTCACAAACTGCCCAAGCAATATCTTGAGGAAAGAGTAGGGGTTCCGTTACACACATGGATCCCTCAGGCTTTCATTCACTTTCAACATATGTGTTACAGTTTCTAAGGGACCAGCAAGGAAGACGTACTGATTATACTGTCTAACTAAAGTAACCATCACATGGACACATGGCTTAAAGAGATTCTTGCAAAGAAGTCAGAGATTAAAGACAATACTATGAATGCAACATAAGTGCACAACTAGTTAATGGCATGGCTGACATTTCTGCTCTCACTGTGAGCTATTCGTCAGCCTCATTAAGAGGTTAAGCTAATAAGAGATTGGCAAAAATTTTTCAAAATTATCAAGAAGATCATTTGAATAATGAATTTATAGACTTCATCAGTCATTCATTCACTGAAAATTTTACAGTGCCAGGTACTGTTCAATTTGCTAACAGTAAACGAAGCTGATAAAAATCAATTTTGCCCTAAGGGTATAGTAGCCACTGAAAGTCTCACTAAATTGATTGATTACAATGCCAATCAAAATCCCAACAAGTTATTTTGTTTTTTGATGAAACTTGACAAGCAGATTCTAAAATTTAGGTAATGGTAATGCTAAGTTCCATTATCCGCCAAGACTGTCTTGATAAAGAAGAAGAAAATGGAAAGACTGCCCCCTGGATAGCAAGACTCTTATAAGGCCACATTAATGAAGACAATGTAGCACTGGCATAAAGACAGTGTTTTAGCCAGGGGTCTCCAGAGAAACAGAACCAATAGGAGGTTATATCTATACACATAAAGAGATTTATTATGAGGAATTGGCTCAGCAATGATGGAGGTAAGCAAATCCCAAGATCTTCAGAGTGAGTTGGCCAGCCCAGGAGAGCTGACGGTTTAGTTCTAGTCCAAATTTGAAGGCCTGAAACAAGGGAAGTCAATGGTGTAGTTCCAGTCTGAAGGCTGGCAGTCTCAAGACCCAGGAAGATCCAACGTCTTAAGTTTGAGTCTAAAGGCAGGAAAAAAGCTTATGTCCTAGTGCAAAGGCTATTAGGCAGGAGGAATTCTCTCTCACTCATGGGAGGGTTCAGCTTTTTTGTTCTATTCAAGCCTTCAACTAACTGGATGAGCCACACACATTAGGGAGGTTGATCTGCTTCACTCAGTCTATGCATTTAAATGTTAATCTCATCCAAACACACCCTCACTGAAACATCCAGAATAATGTTTGGCCAAATATTCGGGCACCTCATGGTCAAGTCGACACACAACATTAAGCATCACAGACGCTGAAATCAATAGAGAGATTCTGGATCATACCCGCACAGACAAAGACACTTGATTCATGATGAAGGCAGCACCACAGATCAGTGAGGAAAGGACTTTTCAATAAAGGCTTTGGGACAACGGAGTAGCCATACGGGAGCATGTGCAATTGATTCATAAACCAACAACCACCTTCTGTCTTGCTGCATTCATGGTTAACATTATACCATCATGTAGGTACTGATTTGTGACAGGTACATGTAACTAGCTTTAGATTGCTAAAAGTTAAACAATACTATTCCTATACATCTTTTTACCAGTTAATACTCCAGGCTTGCCTAGTACAACAAGCAGCGAAACTGCTTTCCCAATCTCCTATATCCTCAACTCTCTACTAGCACTTTCTTCTCAGAATAAAGCATATTCAAGACTTTCTCAATTTCAATCAACTCAACTCTATGATCTAGTCTGGCTTCCACCTCCTCTCTCCTTCCTTCACTGCCAAGTTTCTTCAAAGAGTAACCAAAGTTTATCATCTCTGCTTCCTCACCTCCCCATCCACTCCTCAATCTGCGGCAAGCCGGCTCCTTCCCTCCTCCTCCCACTAAATCTATTCTCACCAAGGTCCTTCCTCCTCGTGGCTAAATCAAAGTGCTGCTTCTCAGTCCTTCCCCTGCTTTATGATCTGCAGCTGCCCTGTCTACTCCAGCAATTGCCAGCCACACGTGGCTACTGAGCACTTCAAAGGTAGTTAAGTACAATGAAGGAAGTGGATTTTTAATTATTTAAATTTTAATTAAATTTGAATTTAAAAACTGACACTTGATTCATGTGTAAGTCTCTCTGGAACAATATGGCTATGTGAACCTACTTTTTCAACTGCAAATTTTATGAAATCTAAATACAAATCAACAATTTACACTGAAATTAAGCATCTGAGTTAAGGGGTAACATGTAGATGTAAGTGTAACATACACACTCAATTTCAATGACTGACTATGAAAAAAGATCAAAACAATCTCAACAGTAATTTTTAAATTGATTATATGTTGAAACAAAAGTGTTTTGGATATATTGGGTTAAATAAAATATATTATTAAAATTAATTTCACCTATTTCTTTCTACATTTCTTAAAGCAGCTACTGGAGAACTTAAAATCATCTATATAGTATGTATTTTACTTCTATTGGATAGAGCAGTGCTACAGCATTAAATATGAATGACTACTCATTTTTTCCAAAAACACTGCTGCTTTTCTCCTTCTACTTCTTGATCCCCTCATTTTAGTCTGCAGTGTGGCTCATTCTTCTGCTCACTCCATAAATGCAATTGCTTCCCAAGGCTGTCCCTTAGGCCCCATACCCTCCCCACACTAGGTGCTATCTCTGGGTGATGGATCTCACCCTTACCCAAGGCTTCCACTGTTTCCCTACCCTGAGGACTGTCAACCCTGTACGTGCAAATCCGCTCGCCCTCCTGAGAAAGTGATGTTCAACTCTATCTACACCTAAGTGTATCGGCATGTAATGTGTCATTACTTCTTGTGGAGATTTACCTCATCAATATCATAAATCTGGCACCTCTTCTCTATTTCATTCGGGCCCTCATGATTTCTCTTCTTTATCACAATAGTTTCCAAAGTGCTATCTGTGCCCCCTTCCAAATCAACTTCCTTTTGCTGTTAAGTTTCTAAAACTCACACCTGGTCACATGATTTCTCTGTTTAAAACACTTTGGTGGTTTCCCCACTGCCTTCAAGATAAAACAAAAACTTGTTATAATCATACATAAGACTTTATGCTTCACCATCAACCCTACAAAACCCCAAGCTCAGGCACACCTAAGCACCTGCAGGTCCCTGAACACAACATTTGCTTCCCACCACCATGCTTTGCACATGCTCATTCTGCTGACAGGAGTATCTCTCCTAAAACTCTATGCCTGCTCTCTTAGTCATCCTCCAAAGCTCAGCTGATATACCACCTCCTCCAGAAAACATCTCCAAACCCCAAGTCTGAGCAAGCATCCCTCCCCTGTGCCACTACCACGCCTATCCACAGCTCCACCAACAGCCCAACCACACTGCCCTGGGACGATCTGGTTACCAGCCTCTGAAATCCCTGAAGGTAGGAATTAAGTGTTTTAACTTTATCTCCCTGTGCAATACTTAGTAAGTACCTAGGGACATAGAGACACAGTATTAAATAAGGGAAACTCACAAAATAAAATGCAAGGCTAGAAATTTTAAAACAGGCTAATAAAATCATGAGTTAAATGAAGAAAGTTAACCCAATCACTCTAAAAACACTTATTAGATGGCCTATTTCAGGACTTACTGAGCTAGCCAATAAAAAATATATCCTAAATAATCACTAAAATATCCAATATGCAACCATTTAAAAAGTTAAAGACTAAGTATGTTATTCTATTTCTATAGTCTTGTTCTTCATACCTTTTCTTCTCTAATTCTACTTATCAGTTCCTTTCTTCAGCTCCTTACATTAACCATCCTTCTAATTAAATTTTGCATTCTTTCCTTCCCTCACCCAATCCTTTGCACTTCTATTGTCCCTTCAATTCTTCTTCTAACCTAACAGAAAAATACTCATACTATCATCTCTGTCAGCAATTCTGTATTAAACAAAGAAAAGTTAAAAAGCAGTGAGTGGAGTGATATCACCAGTCAGACTGACAGACAAAACCATACCATTTGATGTGGGTGGTGACTTCCTAACACTAAGCGGCTAATGTGAACCACATGCACACTGATGGAGTCTGACGGGCATGAGTGAGTCCTGGGGTTACTGCAGCAGGACAGTGAGGGGAAGAGAAAAGAACAGGCAACTTGGTGGTGGTGAGGGCAGCCACAGCCCAGCCTTACAACATTCTCCAACTTGAGCCCGCCCTGCAAGAGGAGGCAGGAACAGATGGGGAATTCAGGAAGCTGTCAGCTCTCTGGTCTGGCACAGCTGGGTAACCCATCTGACGGTGTAAAGGCAGCAGGAGCCAACTAGCACCAGGGGCTAGTCTGAGCACACTGGCCCCAGTACCAACTGTAGGACACAAAAGAAAGACTGCTGCTCCCAGGGCACTTCTGAATTTTAGTTTTACTACAGAATAGATTCTGAGAGAGGCAGAGAAGTACTTGGAGAGGAATTGTATGTATTTAAACCAGGTTGGTAGGGAGAAACAATTTTTTGAAGGAGAGCAATTGCTGGAAGGAAAGAGTGTACATTCTTTCAATTACCTGAAAGTAACTTTCTGAAACCACTCAACATTAGGTCTCGGGAAAGTTTGCCCTAAAGACCAATCTCTTACGGAATTCACGATCAAACAAAAATGAAATCTCGTGAATAATTTTACACCCAGCAAGATAACACGACAGCAAAGGATGTGTTTGAAAAAGTTCCTAAAACATCACAGAACTGGACTGCCAAAGCAGCACCCTGACCAGTTTAATTCAAAGCAGTGCAGGGCAAGAGCTCTTCTTACCCGTGTCCAGGAGTTAAGTTTTGAGTCTCCAGAATTCTGTGGTTCTTTGTTAATCAGACAACATAAGCACCATATTAGAATTTTTTGGCTTTCATCTGCAAAAAGGAAAACTAAAATGAGTAGGTTGTATCAATTAGAAAGAAAAGATAATCAGTATAAAAAAATGTGTAAACACTATATATTAAAATATTTAATATATTTTAGGAAAACCCCAAACTACTAAGTTCACAGAATAAGCATCCAGGCCCACGTGTGAAACTTAACCTTCTGGAGTTTTTTCTTCTTGTGGGTTTGGGATCACTCATGCTTAGCCTTTGTGTGGTCAATTCCCTTTCTCTTACAGCAGCAATTTTTAAAGCCAAAGAGAATGACGGAAAGAACTAAAAGACCTGGGTTTTATTCAAGATTGGTTCTTGATTTTGCATTTCAACATTGTTAAGGCAACATAACTGCTACATGCAGCACTCAATACTTCTAATTCAATCTTTTAATTTTCTAATTTGCCAAAACACCTCACTTGTTAAAAATAAATTTAACAAAAAAGATTGTTTTAAAATATATTCTCTTTAGTACCAAATAGTTTGGATAAAATAGAAGCCCTTTACACGCTCCTTATTTTTACTCTAAAATGTAAAACTTTACTAAATATGTGATGTTAATGCTGACCTTTGAAATCTTACATTTGGCGGGAACACCTGCTTGGTGAGCCATTTTCTTTTTCCTCTTTTGTTAACTGAGTCTGTTGAAGTTAGAGGTTTTATAACGCAACTGAGAAGCAAAAATGAAGCCTAAAAACTGAACACATCAGTACCCAAACCAGAGCCAAGCAACTGTGGATTTTCTCACAAGGCTGTGGAGGGAAGGCTGAGAAAACCCAGCACTGGCATGGCTCCTCCGCAGAGTCACCTGTGCCCTTTGCCTTGTGATCTTCTGCTATCTCACAAACAGCGTTTCTAAGGGCTTACCTAACAAGAAACAAGGAAAATACAAGCTACAGTAAGCTACCTCTGCATTTTTAAACACACCCCAAAGGACGCTACTAGCAGATTTAAACCCATTTTTCCCCCTTAACATCCATAAGCTTATGCTCTCCTAATAACTAACACCTCTGAATAAACTTTATCAAGAATTACTCTGAGGGATTTTCATTTTTTCCTAGTTCTTGTGAGCTCAAACACATCAGTGGCTTGTCTGAGATCGGCTTATTCAAGAATCATAGAATTTAACCTCTGAAGATCCTAGGGTTCTTCAGGTTGAACCAATGCCACTGATTAAAAATGTGATTGTTGCGCTTCCTGTTCTTTAAATATGAGAAGCAATTCTAACTATCTTCATGTCACAAGTGTGACAGACACATCCAATGATAGGCTTACATAAGCAGCTTGCCGTGTTAAAAAGAAAGCAACCTGTTGTATTTGCAAGAATCAGACACTGGCTACTAAAAAGAAAAAACAAGAAGCAGCAGCAGCAGAAGAAGCAGAAGAAAGAAAACATTAGTTCACAGAGCTTAAATCTAAAGGAATCCAAAAAGATGGGCGTTTTCCCCAGGTGTTGAGTGATTCTGCACATTTAATCCAATAAGTATTGTTTTTCATTTTTCTCTCAAAAAGAAAGAGCCAGAGAAACTTTCACCTAACCTTTAGGTGGTACCTTTCTTTGCCCAGAATCAATGCATTGAAATGCACTGCTAATGAGGTTGCTTTAGGGATTTAAGGATGTGAGCCATCACTTTTCATGAGTGCCACCAGCACTCTCTACCGGCAACAGCATCTGTCAGGCTCCTGTCTGGAGGCCAGACATTGGTGCTGGAGCATCCTGCAGGGCAGTTAAGCGAGACGGGAAACTGCTCGGGATTCATCATGGGGATAGTCACTGACAGCAGATCTTACTACAAATGAGGATTCTAAAAATGAACGGAAGAGAAAAGAATACACCAACATACATTTGCCACCTAATATTTTATTTTTTTGATATCTTGAACTGAAATTCCAAATGAAAGCTAAATTAATTCTTTAAACTTTAATTCTGTAGTTTAAGTGTGAAGGCAGCATTTTTCTAAGACAATACATATTTATTGTTTTACACTGCCAAGTTTGGGGGCAAATCATTACACAGCACCAGGTAGCAAATAGTGAGGAAGAGGGGTTCTATCTGTTATGTTAATCACGAGGGCAGAGCTAGAACCAACAAGCCAGAACTCCAAGAAGATGAAGGCAGTAATTTCTTGCAGAGAACACCAATGAAGAAAAGGTGTTGTCTCCCTTTCTCTTATTTGTTTTTTTCTCTTCTCTTTGCAGTGTCTTTTCATTTCCAAATCCTTTCTCCTTCCTTATTATCCTTAATTCTGATCTTGTTCTCACTTAACATTATGGGAGACTTACTTCTTTCCTTGATGGAAATTGTTTTGTTACAGTATTGAACTGTTACGGTAAATAATTTTACTGTATTTAAAAAGTAATTTTGATATTATAAAACCACAAGAAAAGATCCTTTCCTAGAAGAAAGTGCCCAACTAGTGAAACAACAGTGACAACATAGCCAAGATTTGGTTACTCATGGAGTTCTGTGCCCGTCAGCCTCCTCTATGAGCCCAGAACTAAAGGCAAGTCTCAAACAAGAAACTGAAATTTAATGGACAGTTCAAAAGGGAACACAAGCATAGAAATAGAAAGAGATGGAGAATTTGTTTCTGGTTGTCAGAAGAGCCCAATTTAATGGTGATAAGGTGCTAAGGAAAGATCACAGCCAGATACAAGTTTAAGGTCACAGGGATAAATCAGTCCAGTGTCTCTTTTACAAATAAGGAACCTGAGTCTCAGTGAGTTCGGTGGCTTGTCTTAGAAAATCTCATCTTACCCATTGTCCTCCAAGACTCAGCCCCAGCACGACCTCCACTGTGAAACTTTCCTTCCCCTCAGCTCCTCGCTCAGAGTTCCACAACACCAACCATGCCCCTGAGTTCAGCTGATCATCTTAGGGCTCTTTTCTCCCTGACCGGAAGCTGCCAGTGGGCAGAAATCGTGAGGCAGGCATACCAAAACAACTTTCTAAACGTCTGTTCAGTAAATATATACATTCACGCGAAGCTGGCTGGTGGTAAAGCCAGGACTGAAACACTTCAACCAGAGGCTGTGATCCACAGGAGCAGATCATTACAACAACACGGGATTTAGAGGGCTGGGGTATTGGCTCCTATTATTTTAAGTGGTCTTTTCTGGTGAATATTAAGATTTTGAGTGTCTTCACTATTGTTAGATAAGTTATTGTGCTCAAAATTTGACATATTTTCATTTTGACATTTCTTATTTTTATTACACTAGATATTTTTATGAATTAACATGTTTTCATAAGCTTCACAGTTTCTGGGGAAAGTGACTTATTTACTGTACCTCATAATTACCTATCCTGCAAGACTAGCATCAAGAACTCAATTAGATCCACCTTGCAATCGACAGAGAGTAGGCCCAGCACAAAGTGAGCAATGCCGCTCATTCAACTTCTTCGATTCTACAACACAAACTTTCCCACGTTTTAACAGTCCTGAATTAGGGATGTGTCTTACATCCACCCTATACACTTAAAGGGCATAATATTTCTTTTTTCTAAAAAGCAGTTATTCAGTCTATGAAGTATGTAACAATGGGTGGTACCTTTAATTGGAGAAAACTCCACAGTTTCTCTTCCTTTCTCCTGCCATCAGTATCATCAGGCCAGCTCAATGTTTTTCAAACTTTTGCTCATGACCCATCAGTAGGTTGTGAAATCAGTTTCGGATCATGAAGACCATTTTTAAAAAAGGATAGTGACTATGGCTGCACATAAAAATAAGCATACTTTTATGAAATGTGTGTATGTATCTGTGTGTAGAAGTGTATGTGTAAGAATGCATATGTACATACACACATGCACAGAAAATGTATTTCTGATCAAAGATGTCTGAGAAACACTGACCTAAATGAAACATACAAACTTAGGGCAGGTTGTAGCCCTGGTGGGCAAATACAGTGATGGCTTTGCCATTTTAGATCAAGAACTTGAACTAGCTGAGGGAGTCAAGGGAGGAGTCAACTCAAGTGGCAAGAGGAAGCAAGCGGCCTAAGTGGAGAGGAAGAGAGACAGATGAGGGTGGGGGTGGAGTGCATGAGTTTGAGGGTGTGTGGTGCACCCATGCCTGTACGTTGAAGGGACCAAATGTGGATGCTGTCGCTTCCTCACCAAGTTCATCCTTCTTAAAATGACTTACGACAGGCTAGGAAATAGAAATTGTATAATTCTTTAAAATATCAAAGGGGAAAATTCATTTTATTTTTTATTTTACTATCATTATATTATGCAACTAGTATTTGACTTTAAAAAATATGAAAAGTAAATATTACGCTAGCTAAACTGTGCACCTTTGGATGTGCCTGCTCCACCCTATGCTAGGCCCTGGGACGAGAAAGAGAACTAAACCCACAGTTCCTGTTCTTGAGAGGCATTCAGTTTTCCAGGGCATCAGACAGGCAAACCAACAATTGTAAAGCAGTGTAGTAGGTGTTATAATGAAGAGAGACAACAAGCTATGGAGACACTAAGAGAGGTTCCTAACTCAGCCCCAGCAAGGCTATTTCAAAGAAGGCTTAAGAGGACAAGAGACGAGAACAGATTTCCAGGCAAAAAGAATTGCCTGTCAAGAGTCCTGACATCATGCACCTTCAGGCCCTCTTAGTAATCTGACCTGGCTACACTGCATGTGTTGTAGTTGTGGAGGATTCAACAGGAAATGAGGCTGGACAGGCAGGCAGGAGGTCAATGAAGTAACACCTTCCTGAAGCGTCCTCCAATTCCTCTTAACCACGGGTAAAACCAAAATGTCACCCCTAAATAATGGCACAGCCATGGCAGGACTCAGACTCTGAAGAATGATTTTACACATGGAAAACAGTATGCAAATTAATATGAATTTTGAAACAGAGATTATTTCATTATTATAATCACTTTACACTGAAATAAAAATGAAGTTATGATAACCATCTGAGAATTTCTGCTCTCTAATACAAGGAGTTTTATCTTCCTACAGATTTGCATGTGTATGTATGTGCATGCATGTGTATCCATACAAACATGCACAAACATATGGACAACAAAGGATGCTATTTTTGTAATGGAACAATGAATACAATTGATAAGTTGTTTTATGAAAAATAGGAGAAAGGTTTATAATTTAAAGCTCTGTATTTTGGTAAACAATGCAAAGATCAAAATTATTGTTAGAAGTTTGTAATTCAAGAGGACTTGCTTTGGATTCTTACCATACGCTAAGATAAAAGGATTCCGGCAAGTTTTTGCCAACAGTTGACCAATTGTGGGGAATCTTTCAATGACTGTATTTGAATCCTGTAAAAGAAAATTATGTTTTGGTGAGTAGAAGGACACTGTGCAACTCAGAAAGACTGAACTGACACTGCAAGTTGAGGGAGCTTGAATGCTTCTTGTTTAGTATGTATTTTAGAAAAGTAGGAAAAAAAGGATTAGAGAAGATCTTTAGGCAAGTAATTCAAATAAAGTTTAACGAGCAATAACCTTACTTCTTCCTTCAACCAGGTCACCAAAATTAAGATGTACAGTACATTTACACAAAATCAATTTTGTTACAAAATTAACTTTATTTTACTCGTACTTAACAGTCAGGAAAGGCTACTTTATTTAAAAATAACAAAGACTTTATAATAGTGAAAAAAACGTTATGGGTGATTAATATTATATAATCCCATTATCTTCATCCTGATTTTTTTTATTTTGACATAATAAGAGAGGTTCCTAACCTCTATTTCAAAGAAGGTTCAGGAGGATAAGAACTCGGGAACTAGTGAAAAAAAAAACAAAAGCACGAACTCTATATGACTCCACTCATAGGTGGAAGTTAATATATTGACAAGGAGATATGATCGGTGGTTACCAGGGAACGGGGGGGTGGGGGGAGGGCACAAAGGGGGAAGTGGTGTACCCACAACATGACTAACAAAAATGTACAACTGAAATCTCACAAGGTTGTAATCTATCATAACATTAATAAAAAAATAAAAAATAAAAAAAAAGCAGCCAAAGCATAAAGATATCTATATCTGTTTATTACTATTTTGACCATATGCTAAATGACATCATACTTAGTCTACAACAACCTAAGACCTGAGACCCAAAAAAAGATCAACCAAATATAAAACAGCTTAACATTAAAAAAAATACATGCTGTTGTACCATTGGCCCTTTTCCCACTTCTATACCTTTCGAGAAAGTTTAAAAATAAGACCGAACAGATAATGTGCACAAATGCTGAAACAGGCATTTCCCACTGCTGCAACAATGAATTCCTCACATTTGTCTGAGCATCAAGGCCAGGCCTAGTCTTTGTGGGACCATTTTAAGGTCAAGTTACAAAAGTCTTATTACAAACAACAATTGTAAAAGTTAGTACTGGTTGTCTTGTTAGTTAGCATTGTATCTTTCCTTCCTGTTTCTAAAGACATAAGAACTGATATCACCATGAATTATTCTTCAAATTTCCTACTTGCTTCTTTGATTAAGGGAATAAACATATAAGACGAGAACACCTAGGTTAAATGACAGTTTTGCTTTTCATTTTGAAATTAGAAAATAAATATAAAACAAATAACATTTTCATAATATGCTAACATTAATTCATAAAAACATCTATTGTAATAACAATAAGAAATCATGTCAAAATGAAAATACATCAAATTTTGAACACAGTAACTTATCTAACAATAGTGAAGACATTCAATATCTTAATATTCACCAGAAAAGACCACTTAAAATGTTTATAAGAAGAGATCTTAATATTTATCATCCCTTAGTAGAGCCCACTTTAGAATAGGGTTGAGGAAAGGGTAAGGATTTCAGCAAAATTATCAATATTTAAGAGATGCAAAGGCCTTTAAAAGAATCCCAATTATTACCTGACAACAAGTGTCAAACTTTTATTTATTTCATAACAACTTGGGGCTGGCCCCATGGCCGAGTGGTTAAGTTCATGCGCTCTGCTTCGGAGGCCCAGGGTTTGACCAGTTCAGATCCTGGGCGCGGACACGGTACCGCTCATCAGGCAATGCTGAGGCAGCGTCCCACATGCTACAACTAGAAGGACCCACAACTAAAATATACAACTATGTGCTCGGGGACTTTGGGGAGAAAGAAAAAAAAGAAGATTGGCAATAGATGTTAGCTCAGGTACCAATCTTTAAAAAAATAACAACTTGATTGGTCAGGAAGTCTCATGTGACAATATAGCTAATCAAGAAGAAAAGACTGAAGACACAATAAATCAGAGACTAGGAAATCATTTCTTGTCTGCATTACCTGGGAGTAATTTGTCTTTCTAATCCATCAATACATTAGGTCACTATCACAAGTCGCTGACTCTAAATAGCGTTCAGGCCTAGAGAAACCTGGTAAAGAGGCCCTGATGTCACAAAATAACCTCCCTATTTGGGTCCACTACTTACCATCTCTTTCAAGGCTTCATACATCTGCCTCAGGAACTCCTGAAACCGAGGCAGGTGAAGACAGGTGTCTTGCTGGGTTTCCACAGTGGAGGCCTGGTCCCATGTAGAAACCTTCTGCATCCAAAACTGGTAATCAGAAGAAAGGCCTACTGAGTCTTGAGCCATCTCAGGAAAGGGAAAAGGGGATGCACCTCCACAGTGGCCTGCCAAGCGCTGAGGGAGACAGTGAGCACGCAGCAAATCTATAAGGGGAAAAATGAAACATTTAAAAAGGGGCTTTTATTGGTGTCTTCACGATCCACTGAGGAGTGCAGGAAGAATGACAAGGGACTAAAATAGGAAGCCTTCTGGGGAGTCATCTTTGAACTATTTTAAAATGTGTCACCCAGCTGTAGCTCCAATTTTTACCATCTCCACTTTTATCGTGAGTAATATCATTACACTAAAGTCATTATACCTCTACAGGCACATGCTAATCATGTACAAAAAGCACAGCTGATAATACTTTATATCTTTCTAGGATTGAGCTATTTTTAAATTTTCTGAATATGAAGTTCATTTGAGTATTTTAATGTAATGGGAAATAAAAAACATCCACTGGTGTTTAATAATAGTCTGTGCCTAGGAAGTGTTTTTGAAGTTCTTATGTTTTTTATATGCATTCTGGCTTCTCACTTAGATGTAAAAAAAAAAACTCCAAGCATTACTGTCTAATGAATTTTCTTCCCAGTTTCTCTTCATTTCTTAGATAAAAGTAAAATAATTCATTCCACATGCATCGATGTGAACACTTTACATACATAATTTAATTAAAGACTTCTGTATATGCTTGAGCTCCATTCACAAGAAGAAATCATATTTAGTAAAATATGTTGAACTCCAATTATTGAGATGTACTAGTCCTAAGTGACAGAAAATAAAACTCATAAACTTGCCTTAGCAGACCTAAAGCACACGGTAAAAAGAATAGTGAAGCTATGCAATGAGCGTGGGCCTCAGGCAGAGCGAGGGCAACACCCTCCAGGCGCCCCAGCAGTCCCAGCTCCGAGCCACGCCCCCTCGGCAGGCACCCCCGGCAGACGAGAGAGCGGCTGCTGCTCACAGGGGCCAGCTTCAGACTCCTGCTTCATGGGGCGGGGATGACACCAGCTATTTAAGTTCAAAGAACTACTCTGTAAGTGGTAAATGAGTTTAAATCTTCAGCAGCAACAATAAACAAATAAAATGCTCCCAATTAAATGCCAAAAACATTAACCAAGGAAGTTCTCATTACTAAACAGGAAAACAAAAAAATTTAAAAAGAGTGTATAATTTGGCTGCAGTGCAAAAAACCCTAGACCAGGAAGATGAAAGTTTTAAAATGATACTGAAAACTTAGTCTTGAAAAGGACCATATTAAAATAAAATAAAAAGCTTAAGAATGGAGGCAATACATGTATACTATCAAATGGCATAATAGCTAAAACTCTAGGCATTGTCCCTGATTCCTCCCTTTCTTTCATTGTTCTCTCATCCAAGCCATCACCAATACCTTCAATTCTACCTCAAAAATAAATATGTGATTTGATTTGACTTCATCCACTTCTTTCTAACTCCACTGACACCATCCAACCCTATCTCTATCCATTTCTTTCCTAGAATCTTCTATCTGGTCCCATCTGCCCCTCTCCAATTCATTGTCTACAACAGCCAACAAAATTAACTTCCCCAAATGTAAACGAGACCTAGCACACTCCTGCTTAAAACGTCCCTTCAACAGCTTCCTTGGAAAGAAATCCCAAACCCCCGCAGAGAAGACACTAGCTCTACACCACCGTCTCTAAGCCCCCGCCAAATGCAGCTGCAGCACACCCTCTGCCTGCCATGTTGCCTCTCCCAGCTGACACGGTCCAGCCCAGAACCTGCCATCTGTTCTACCAACACACTAAACCCTTCCCTGCTTCCAGGCCTTTCTGCTGATTCCTCCACAACTCTTATCACATCAGTAACTACCCTGGGCACGCACTTTTCACTCAGTTACGGCTGCCTCCACTGGCATGTACATTCCCTGTCTTCCTAGACTTCAGCACATGCCTGGCAAATACTCAATAAACACTGAATGAAGAAATGAATAATTCGTTGATATTTTTCAAAGTATAGTTCTAAGATAAATGCCGTAATAAAATGCTTTTCCAGATATAGCAATTTAATTTTTAAAAGGTAACTGCAAAAAAAGAAAATTTTAAAGGTATTTTTATATTATCTATGTGAAATTTAATTATTAACATCCCATTTTAAAAATATAGTAATAATAGCTTATATATACATATACTTACTGTGCTCTTGGCAATATATGAAATGATTATGCATACTAGCTAATTTAATCCTCACAGCAACCCTATGAAATGGGTACAATTATCCTCATTTTACAGAGGCATAAAGCAATTATGTAATTGCCTAAAGTAAGATTATGTAAAAGCCCAAAGGAAGTAACTGCTAGTAAATAGCACAGCTAGGACTGTGTGATTTGAATGCAGGGAGTGTGGCTCTAAAGTCTGTGCCCTTAAACAAAGAAAGAAACTGAAGAAACAAATTGACGAATTTCTTATATATTTCATATGGCCCTAGATGCAGGTCAGTATAGATATTTGGGGACACTAAATTGAAGAACTTTTTGATATTAGAGACAAGAAACACTATTTTATTACAACAAAATTACAAACAACCTTTGGTTTACCAGTGGAAATGCATCTGATTGTTTGAAATGGAAAAGGCTTTAGGGATCATGTGGTAAAGTGGTCCTGGATGCTCTATTCCATAGCCTATCTAGGGGTGCGGGGTGAGGAGATGGTAGAGGCTGGGAAAAGAGTGGTGCCCTGGTTGTGATGGTAGCAATGGGGATGCTGCTGACATTTAGTGCCTAGGAGTCAGGGATGCTGAACACACTGCAACGCGCTGGGATAGCAGCTCACAAAGAAAAATGAGATCTTCCCCCAAAGGCCAGTGATGCCCCTAGTGAGAAACACTGACCTAATCTGAAGACTCTGGAATGGCCATTCCATTGGTTTTGCCTGTTTAGCATTCCTTCTCTCTTCTTTCAGTTATACCATCTTACTTTTCCTTTAGGAAAGTACCTCTCCTCCATTCCCCAAGTCTTGGTTCTATAAATCAAGGCAACTGTACCTCAGCCAAGGGGTAGGATGCTGATTCAAGTTAGGCAAACTAGACTCTGCTGGAAATCTGAATCTTTAGTAGACTGACATAAGGGTGGAGTTAAGTTATTCAAAGACTGTCTTAGTCCAGATCCCTGGAGCATCCCTACATCACGTCCCCAACAAGGAATGGCTTTTCAGCCCTCTCTTTAATTCTGTCAGCTACCCAGGGACCTTCTAATAAATTTTTTTTTCTTAAATTAACCACTGTTGCTTTCCGTGATTTTCAATCAAAGAACACAAACTGATATAGTCTGATACTGATAGGGTGTATGACACAAACTGATACCAGCTAGTGGGCTACAGACAACAGACCTTTGGAGAAAGGAGGGGAACTTAGAACTATTACTGGGCTAAGTCATGGAAAACACCAGTGAAAATTCTGTTCATATTAGGAAATTGGAAAGCACAAGTCCACGGAACGAAAGGGTAATATAGATCAATGAGGTATTGCCTGCATACAAGGACCCTGACTCATTATACTATTCTAGTAGGAATGGCCAAGTGAAAGGCACTATACTATCAAAAAAACAATACTACACATTTGGTGATTTGCAGAGAACCCACGTCCCCAGCTGAGGGGCCAATGGAGCTTGATATCAGGCTATCACAAACATAATCAAATGGTGACTTCAACTCAAGCTGCACTTTCAGATGTGGGTCGTAACTGGAGCAAATTAATACCACCTTGGCATCTAAAATGCAGTTATGTAGCTGGGAAACGCATTTCACCATTGGGATAAACTGAGGACATGAGAAAGCAGTTCACTTTCACCTGCCTCAGAGATATCTACTCAGGATACAGCATATTACACTAGACTACCAGAGTGAAGATATTAGGCTGATAGAATCTGGAAAGTAGGAAAATACAGGTGCCTTGCTTGTATTCCAGATGGTGGGATATAAACCCCATGAACATACAGGGCCTGCCACTGTTTCAGGAAGTTTCTTGTGATGCAATGGTCTGTGCCAAGTCAGGACATGCCCTTTAAAATGAGGATACACAAGAAACTAGTACCAGTGGTTGCCTCCACTGTAGAGGCCTGGGTAGCTGGATGATAAGTACAGGAAAGGAACTTAGGTTTTACTATACACCTTTCTGCACCTTTTCAATTTAATACCACGTACACTAACTACTGACTCAAAATTAATAATAATAAACAAAAAATAAAGTGAATGATAACCACTGTACCTTACACCTGTTGAGAGGCAAAATGCCTGGCTGAAATATTTGAGATTCTGAAGACAACATATATTACATGGGTTTTAGACCATTTATCTGCTTCTACCCATTTGTCTGGCAATGAGAAAATCTGGGTAGGCCCCATAGGAAAAACCACTGCGCAGCTTGTCCATGCTGAAGTGCTCTGCCACTGAGCTCATAAGACCCAGCAGATCCAGCGCTGTTTAAAGTGTGTGTGGAAGATCCGGATTCTGGGAAAAGCGTATGGCAGGCCTCAGTAACTGGACTGATTTTCCAAGCCACAAAGCCGGGTGTGCCCAGCAGCACTCTATCATCATGTGCAAATTATGCTTGCTTGGTCAAAATGCATGAGCAAGGTTTTTGGTTGCTATCTGTATATGTCGTGCTTGCTATGTCAGATAATCTTTAAAAACTCCCTTCTCTTTCATTCTCCCCCTCTCCTACTATCGCACATATAGAATACATTATTAGTAGATAAATTTTCTAAAGTCTATAATTTACAGAATATAACAGAGATGGAAAAAAGAACTGACATGATCCAGAACTGCTTGACTTGAAGCTAGATGCGTTAACCAGGCACTACTTTGGATCATCTCGTTTCCTTTTTTGAAGGAAGAGAGAGCTAAATTATGTTAGTTGCAAGTGTTTTAAAAATTCTGTGTGTGGAAAGCAGTAGGTTTAAACATCCCAAGTAACTAACAAGCGAAAGGCAGTGGATATCTGTTCTTTTTGCCCTCCTACCACCCTTTTCCTGTTATTTTAACATACACGCACCCCACTATTGATCAGAAGAAGTGCCCTTCTTCCTTCCCATACAGTCCTAGGGAGACTATGGATCCAGATGCGC